ATATTATTATTTTTTATTTCACCATTTCATAAGACGTTATTAATAAACAAATAATCTAATATTTAAGTGTTGAAATATAAGTAATGAAACGAAGTCATTAAGAAATCATAGAAATGCTTCCAAATCTCGTATAACAGTGGACAGACTATTCTAAGGTAAACTATATAAAATAAAATAGTTCGTACTATAGAAAGAACTGTGACTAGAAACCCTTGACAAGGTGAAATTTTTATTTTTTCCTCTTTGCAAACAAAATTAGCGAAAAATCACAAAACATGAACAGTAAAGATTATGGAATAAATAATGAAGAAATCCAAATACAGACATTCGTATAGTTGATATGTAATACTAGAAAACTAAATTTCAAATCTAATGTAAAGTCTCACATAATGTTGTTGAACTCGGTCATCGCGGTTTAGGCTTAACTGCCTTGATATGAATCAAAGTAAATAGCTTATTAAGTACTTTAAAATCTGAAACTGTTTTTAAAGCTAGCTCTCATAAATTGGTCTATAACTCAAATTCGCGTTGACGATTTGATGAAAGCGTACTGTTATCGAGTGTAAAAAAGATCGTCGCATACTTGAAAACGGAGTTTTCCCATTTGATAAAACAAAGGCCCATATATAAACGAATGAATATTTCACACAGAGAAACCTGCTATCTACAGTGTTCTGTATACATGTCTACAACATTTATTCAGGCAGTGCCACTGAATATAGAGAAACCTCTAAGTAAAATTCGAACACTTTTTCGCCCATAATAATCTTTTAACAGAGATTTTACGCCAAATATGTTTAAACAATTATCCAGACAGTTTCTAAATAGTTACTGAGCCAGTTTCTAAATAATTATCCAGACTGTTTTTAAATAATTACTCAGCCAGTTTCTAAACAATTATCCAGCCAATTTCTAAATAGTTACTCAGCCAGTTTCTAAACAATTATTCAGCCAGTTTCTAAATAATTATCCAGACTGTTTCTAAATAGTTACTCAGCCATTTTCTAAACAATTATTCAATCAATTTCTAAGTAGTTATTCAGCCAGTTTCTAAACAATTATCCAGCCAATTTCTAAATAGTTACTCAGCCAGTTTCTAAACAATTATTCAATCAATTTCTAAATAGTTATTCAGCCAGTTTCTAAACAATTATTCAGCCAGTTTCTAAACAATTATTCAGTCAATTTCTAAATAATTATCCAGACAGTTTCTAAACAATTATTCAGCCAATTTCTAAATAATTATCCAGACAGTTTCTAAACAATTATTCAGCCAGGTTCTAAACAATTATTCAGCCAATTTCTAAATAGTTACTCAGCCAGTTTCTAAACAATTATTCAGTCAGTTTCTAAATAGTTTTGATTGTTTGTTTTTTGACATTCGCGCAAAGCTACACGAGGGCTATCTGCGCTAGCCGTCACTATTTTAGCAGTGTAAGACTAGAGGGAAGGCAGCTAGTCATCACCACCCACCGCCAACTCTTGGGCTACTCTTTTACCAACGAATAGTGGGATTGACACGTCACATTATAACGACCCCACGGCTGAAAGGGCGAGCAAGTTTGGTGTGACGGGGATTCGATCCCGCGACCCGCAGATTGCGAGTCGAGTGCCTTAACCACCTGGCCATGCCGGGCCGCTCCAATAGTTACTCAGCCAGTTTCTAAACAATTATTCAGTCAGTTTCTAAATAGTTATTCAGCCAGTTTCTAAAGAATTATCCAGCCAGTTTCTAAACAATCACGCAAGGTTATAATCCAGAAAAGTTTTCTAAGAAATATTTTCACAGATTTTTCGAGAACTTATCAAAATATAAGGCACACTGTTTTCAGAATAAGTCGTCATTTTGCTTCAAGGGCTGAAAAGAGAAATATGTAAAATATCACACTAGAGAGCGCGCTGTATAGTACACAAGTATAAACAAACTAAGCAAGCGAGAAATTTGGAAAGCAAAGACAGGAAATAATCACCACGGAGCGACAAGGAGATCAGAGGAAACAGCCAAGTGAAAGTTTCAAATATTTTGCAAGAGTTAGTTGAAAACTGGGGCGTTAAAGTTCGTAGCACTGCAAGGGTTCGAATCCAGCTCCAAAATTCAGAGCTCTTCCACGGGGCTTAACTAAAGGATGGTCCCTCTAAGTACTGGTAACGTAAACAAATAACAAGTTTGGTAGTTTGTAATCAAGCACAAAGCTACACGATGGGCTATCTGCACTCTGCCCACCACGGGTATCGAAACCCGGATTCTAGCGTTGTAAGTCCGCAGATATACCAATATATATATAGTTATCAATATGTCTTTAGTTGCCTTAATTGATTCAAAATATCTGGCATTAAGTATTTGTTTAGAAAATTTACAACAGGAGAAGGAAAAAAAATGTGTTCGAGTTTTATTTATATATATATATATATAATAAATACAAATAAGTAGCTTTATTTATTCTCTAGATTCAAATACAAAATACAGTGTAAAAACATTACACAGAAGAAATGTTGCCCTGCCTGACTAATTGTTGTAGACACCCGTACAACAATGTAGAAAACCTACAGCTTTAAAATAGCTCTTTCTACGTAACACACTTATGGACGTCACAGAGACACAAAGCAGCTATCGGTTTAAATGGTTGGTCAAAGAAACAAGTAAACGTGTCAGATACATCAGCACCGGTTCTATTAGCTTACCTATGACCGCATATAATGTGAAAATCCTCGAGAGGGTTAAACTGATTATCTTATTTCCAGTTGAATTATTTACCATGTTAATTTGTTCACGTCGGGGGGGGAATCGAACCCCGGATTTTAGCGTTGTAAATCCGTAAACTACTGTGAAATTCCTTTGTTGCATATGAAGTGTTTCGATTGTAACACAACAAGACACTTTTTTTTTAAACAATAACAAGTATATATATATATATTTTTTTTTTTCGGATAGTAAATTTAATACTCTATGAAACCCACTCGGGAAACAAAGTGTGATTTTTGGTACAATCCGCTTATTTAAAAACATAAACCAAGGGTTACAAACGCCCCCTAATATATATATATATATTGTTTATATTTTTCAATGTATAACTTTATTTTCTAACATAAATGACTATAACATTATTAGAAGCTCGTAGTAACATGCTTTCAAAATGATCGCTAGTACAATAACACGTCAGATGACCAATAGAAACACAATAACACGTCAGATGACCAATAGAAACGAACACCAAATACTGTTTCAAAAAAAAAATTAAATACACACAAATATATATATATACGTAAACATTTAGAGACAAACTTTGTTAGCGGATGGTCCCATGGACTGTACAGAAATCTTTGGAAGTTTATAACGAAACAAATCTACTACGTTCTACCGGGAAATAGAACAAAAAAATATTGAATACAAAGACCATCGGTATTATCGATATTATGCAAAAATACAGTTACGGACTAGAATAGAGTTAGAGAGGTGAAGTTATCCTCTTATAAGTTAGTTTTCCGCCAGGTGGAGCCACGACCTTCCTCAGATCACGGATGACTTAAATATAGATGATTTTAATAATAGAATAAACACTACGTGTACATCATGATACCTGCAAAAAACAAAACACAAAAAAAAAGTTTTTAACATTCTCGAATTACCAGAGACAGACAAATGTTTTTTTAAATTATCAGGAAAATTACTTTAACCCTACAATTAACACATGAAGTTAGTAGTCGTCTCGTATGATTTTTAAAACACATTTTTACTAACTGGTTGCGGTTAAAATATGAACAAGAAAATAAGACTCTCACAATCATTTAAAGAAAAATGTTATCAATGATGCAGTTAATCTAGTAATTACTGATGAGGTTTACATAGCAAAAATACACAGTGGGCTATCTCTGTTGTGCCCACTGATGGTATCGAATCCCTACATTTAGAGTTTTAAGCCTTAAAGCTTATCGCTGAGCCCCCGGGGCCATTTTACATAGAACGTGAGTTATTGCACTGTTGTAACAGTCGACAATATAAGATCACTCAATATGAGGCAATACGTGGACCCTACCGGCAGTGAACGGTATACAAACAAGTTAGAAATTTTAGGGTTAAAGTATATGTATATTTTTAATTAGTTGAGTAAAAATACTTCCATTAGAATACTAGAACTTCTACATTTCATGGCTAAAACTGAAAACCACACCTAAAGTCGCTGCGCAGCATTTATCCGGATTAACCACGACTTTAAAACGTTAATTAACCAACTAGTTTTGGAAAATTAAATTATGAACAAAGGAATCAGATTAGTGAACATCCGGGACTTTAGTTCATATAACGCTTTTACTGCCATTGACACATAAATGTCCCCTACAGAAAACTGATAATGACACATAAATGTCCCCTATAGAACACTGCCATGGACACGTAGATGTTTTCCTATAGAATATTATCATAGACACATAAATGTCCCCCTATAGAACATTACCATAGACACATAAATGTCCCCTACAGAACATGCCAATGACACATAAATGTCCCCTACAGAAAACTGCCAATGACACATAAATGTCCCCTACAGAAAACTGCC